TCCGGCATTCGGAGTTGCAGGGACGGAGTGAAGTGGATAATCTAATTTGTGAAGGACAAAAGCGGGTTACAATCGCATAGCAAGGAGTGCCTTCGAGGTATTGAAAAGACCGTGCCCTGCGCTGACCTTGATGAGTTATTTTGACGCGTACAAAATATAGGAAAATATAGGAAATACGGAAAGAAATGTTATCGATGTGAACATCGATTATAAAATATATATAGTATATTTTTTCAATAATCGTCATATATAAAAAGTTAAAATTTATTTTCCTACTCATAAAATATTTGTCCATATACATATTCGAAACGAATCATACGTATGCATTTTCATTGTTGTATACATATACAAAACAAAAATGCTTCATATTCATAATATACAACAATATACACAAATATATATATATATACATAAGATAGTAATTATATTTACAGAAATTTATTTCAACAAAGTCATACTTTCCAATTATCGCAGTATCGTTAACTATACCTACATTAACTACACGTCAGTCTATAGTTCATCGTCGTCGCAAAATTCGATCTCGTGATATGTTTCAGCTATCCAGCCAAGGAGATACTTGACTTTCTCTGTCGCTTCGTCATTGGCTTTGTAACCCTCAATAGCCTCGAACAGGCACTTCGATAAAAGTTTTAACAAAGGCTGTGGATAATAAAATCGATGTTAACAATAGATATACGATCGACATCAGAAATTTAAAGCAACTCGGATATTGAAGAGTTGTTAAAAATACTTTGTAAAAATATTTCGTCCAATTATATATATGTATATTACATACTATTATATCTTTAGCTTTTACCATTAAAAAAAATCTTTTTTAATTTTATATTATCTTTATAACACTAAAATTACAGAAAGCAGTACATAAATATTTTTTAGTTCTATTATTTTATCTCAAATAATTTAGATTATATCTCGCATTTACACTTACCACAGGCCAGTCTTGTCTGAATAAAGCTACACATTGATCGCTCAAACTATCTCCATCGAGTATCTTTGTTTCTAATAATCTTTTTAGAAATTTGCCAAAAATTGGCCACAATGCGTCGTTTTGCGGTTGCATTAACAACATAATATTTCTAGAACACAGTATTCTATGCATAGGCGAATCATCTTCGTCATTTCTTAAACTGTCCGAGGACCATACTTTAATCCATTTGTCTTGGACTTCTCGCGTAAAGAGATCCGTTCTATATGCCACTAAAAATGTAAAATATCATAGTTATAATTTTATCACTTTTGAAATTTCAGTATTATTAAACATACCTAAAAATAGCGCAAAATCTATACTAAGATAACACAAAACTTTCTGTGGTCCTGGTAATAAATCATCTCTTTGATTGAATGATTGGTACAGTTTATCTAAAGTGTCCAATATAGACGAAATAGTCAAACCTATACCATTGTTATCCAACATATGCCATATTAATCCCTATAAACAAAAACAAGTAAAAATATGTATAAATATTAATAGCTTAAAGTCATTAATTTTAGAAACAATAGTAATTAATATTTTCGTTTCAAAAATTATACACCTAACGCGTCAATGTATGTATCCGAATTTTAGTTATTAAATTATCATTAAATTCTTTATTGAATCAAGCTTATGTTATTATATCCTTACTCGAAGCTCGTCCATCATGGTAGTAGGATTAGGAGCATCCATATTGTGATCTTTTTCCTGCTTGGAATGCACAGGACTATTGTTCCGAAAGAACCTATTAATCTCAAGTTCCATATCTTTTATGAACAAAGAATCACCAGCAATATGTGACTGAATCCATTGATTTATTCGTTCCATCGCCGTTCTAGTCGCGATCTTGATGCACATTTCCTTGACTGCTGTTAAAGAATCTTCTGCCAATAAAGATTCTATCGATGCCGTGACTCGCGTTTCGCAAATTGCTGGGATTGTTTTCTCACATTGATCCTTCAATTCTCTCGACGCGTTATTGGCCAATATATTCATGTCACTCACAAGTAAAGCCTAAACATCAAACTATGATTTAAACTTAATCTTTTTTCGTATAACATGAAATTTTCTTTACAATCGCGCAAAGATATTACCTTAAATTCGTTGAAGTAATTTCGGGACAGTTCACTCTGTTCATCGGAGTCCTTCTCGATATGCTTGTGTTTCAGAATATTTCTGAAAGAATTTAAATTTGCTTCTCGCGATGAAGTCAATAAGGTGTTGCACATATGCTTTACGCAAGTTGACGCAACTCTTTCGGAAATAAAATCAACAGTCTTTCGAGTAGAAGCTGGTTGACCATGGAAAAAGGCTTCCTCCAATTGTAACTGCCATGACAGAAATTTATTAAATATACAATAATATAGTAAAGCAATATTAGAAATATAAATATATTAAATAAAAAAATACCTCCAAGTGTTTTGCACGAGTAGTACCTCCTAATCTACGTAGTTGAGTAACAGGTGTAATATGCTTATTAGAATTGATATTCAAATTTGTCCCGTTTCCGTGAAACACAGATAAAGTCGGTTCCATTCGCGGACAGCACATACGCATTGTTCGATCAGTAATTATATCTAATTTATCGAGACTACTTTTAACAGGAATTACACAATCGACGGAATGCGAGTTTCTTTTCTTTTCGGAAAATTTTTCCATCTGTTTGAGACTTTTTAGTTCCTTGATTTTGCAAGTCTTTTGCCAGACATTATAGAAATCTCTGGGAAAGTTTGGTAGCTCAAACAACCAACACAGGCTGGATTTGAGCAGCACAGCCGATTGTTGAGAAATAAGACAATCGGGGGCACTAAGATCGGTCTGATTTATCGCATGATAAATATAATACAACAGTTCTAAGATCTGCTTATAATATGGTAGCCGAAGCGATACAATATCCATCATAGCTAGATATTTAACTATCCAAGGTATCGTCAGTGACAGTTTGCCCTCGATTATGGCATTCTGAAGACAAACTTGTAAGTTTAATGATGGGAATACCTATAATAAAACAATTGAAAAGATTATTTGAAAAGAATTTGACAAGTAGCTTTTAACATTTGAATCTTTATGTTATACATACTTTAGTTCTTATCTCTATTTGTGTCATTATAATCTCTTTAGTAGTATTTGATTCAGATCTATAGGGCAATGATACTAAAAGACCTAATACTTTCGCAAGAAGCCTCAAGCTGGCTAAACAAGTAATAAAATTCCGTTGTGTTTGATCGTCAACCATTGTTTCTACAAAATGAAAAATCAAGAAAAAAGTATTTTCCTAAAATTTTAAATAAAATATAAACAGTCACACATGTGAAATCATTAAAATAATAAAAACTATACCTGAGTCTTCTATTTCACTATTAGCAAACTGAGTATCGTTCAATTCCATTATTTCATGTACAAAATAATTCTCCAAATGTGTATAAAATATCGGATTAAATGCATGCAATATAAAATCTTTAAAAAATTCCTGCATGCCAGGAAACGAAGGACCAACACTCTGACTCTGTGATGGTAAGGGAGTCACAAATCTCTTGCTGAGTTGCGTCAATTTCTCAGGATTAACATGTTTTAAAGCTTTCAAGAAATTCAAGCTCTCGTCATCCACTACATCATCCTACAATGGATAATAACACGATTTTATTAATGAAAATATTCTTTTTATAGCGATGTAATAAAATATGTTTAAAAAAAATAATTTTGAGCTTACCTGATGTCTATTCTGTATACACGATATTAACAATTGTGATTTAAATAATCTAGCAATGTGATAATAATTAGTACAGTCATTATGCATCGCCAACATGCTTCTTATTTTGCCACCCAGTGCAATTTGAAACACCCATCCTGGCACCAAATGATTTTCCTCCCAAATTCTAAGTATATCATAAAAGGCGTCTCTTTGCTTCTTAAAAGTATGGAACGAAATAGCAGATGAGAAGTTCTCGCGATTGTCAGTGTCAATTTGAAAAGACACGTTTATCTCCCCCATGGTACACGTCAATTTTTGCGGACTATAAATAGCGATAAATATTTAAATATAAATAACGAAAAATCGTAAAAAAAAATTCATACAATTCGCGTTAAATTATAACCTCTTTGCTGGTCAAGTATTTCGTTCCTTTTAATTAAACATTTTGACATATTTATTTTTTCAGTCCACAATTTTGAAGGTTAAATTTTCGGAACATTTGGAGAAATTCGGAATGAAGTATTATCGAGGAACACGAGATTTCAGTTAGACAGAGGCTATACAATCAATGTTATTGTACAATCTTCAATCGCAAAATGCACATTTTTCAGTGTAGAGATTGTATTTTCAAACATATGGATACGTATCAACGCATTTTAATTTATCTCGCTTTACAAGCTTTATAACCGGGTCGGCCAAATAGGTTAGGTTAATTAACAGACAACCACGACACTTTTAACAGAGGGACGTGCCTGTATGTTAGATGGCACCACTGAACTCTACTAGTAGGACTAGTGCCTCTATCTGCACAAAACCTTGAACTATGTAGAATATTTCCAGCGGATAACACATTATATTTTTGATTCTGTTCCGTGCTACGTTCACCTATTCTACAATCATGTGAGCGTAGTTGAGTGTAGTATAAAATTGACCAATCACAATCGAATATTCTTCTCCTACTCGGCTATGATTGGTGAATTTTACGGCCAATATCACATGCGTCCGTTTTTGTCGTACGACAAATTTTTCAAGCCTGTTGATTGGCTATAAGACAAAGAGGTCCGAGAGCCTTTCTGTCCCACAGCCAATTAACACGCTTGAAAAATCTGTCGTACGACAAAAAACGGACGCATGTAATATTGGCTTACCTGCAATCACACTTACGCAATTTTAGAATAGGCTATATATATATATATATATAGGTAATTAAAAAAACTTATTTGAAAAATAATCGGTAAAAAATACAGACGATTTTAGGATCCTCAAATTCACGAGATCGAATAAAAAACACGGAAGAGCCAATTCGTGCGCATGAGGATGACGAGGATCGACAATTTCAAGTCGGAACAAGTCGGACTTGGAGTATCATGTCAGTGAACTGTGAAATGTTCTGACGATTGGAGGAATTGTTACGAGGCATCGCTGTTACTATCGATATCCGTTCGGACAGGCAGATCAGTATCGATATTCCCGTACGTTGCTATTCCTGAGGGAGAAGAAAGAGAAGAAGAGTGAGCAGTCGATGACGCTGATGACGCTGTGTCGTGAATCGTGCGAACGCAAAATATAACCTCTCCGGCGCATAAGATGCGCCAGCTTTTGTCGGTCCAGTCAGAGACACCACTATTTCAAGAAACCTGATCTCGCCTGGCTGCGTGCTCTACACGCGTTTGTGCGTCCCCACGATCAACGAATCCGTCTCCGCGATCCTCGTCGGCCACTCATCATGAAAGTGATCGTGAAGAAGCTGCAGGGGAAAG